TGCCCGGCTTCTGCCAGGGACTCTGGGGGGCTGGCTGCCCCCTGCCTTCCCTTTGCTGGTCTCCAGGATCTTGGCTGAAGTGCTTACAAACCCAGTGTCCCTCACTTCATTCTGGAAGTTATTTTACCCCTCTTGCAGGGCTGAGACGTAAAGCCACGATATGCCAGCCCAGGGCAGGGCAGGGTCCCTCTGCCGTGTTAACCCCATAACCCTGCAACGTGAATGCTGAGCCCCATATTACAGATGGGGAAACTGAGGCTCAGGGAGCATAAGCAACTTCTCCTAGGTCATCCAGAGGATAAGTGGAGATACTAGGGTTGGGTCAAGTCCATGTGACCCGAAGTCCTTGCTCTGGAGCTCCCTCTTTATCTCACTGCTCCTCCCGGGCTGTCCCCATCTGACAGGCTGGATGACGGCCGGGGCGGGCGTGTGGGGGACAGACAGCACAGGGCGCGGCGGGAGTCAGCAACGAGGACCCTCCCAGGGAACTTTTCCCATTGGAAATCTGTTCCCCTCGCGGCCACGGGTGATGTAGGGCTGGAGCTGATGAGAAGTGTGCGGCGGAATGGAGGCGGGCGGCGCGGGCGGCCGGGGCCGGGGCAACGCACTGAAATTCCGCGGGGCGCGGGGGGCGGCGCAGGCCCTGACACGGGTCGGGTAATTGATCTGGAGGTGCCAATTTGCAGCAACTAAATATTTGGTTTCTGCCTCTGCCCGCTTCGCACTCTGCTCAAACTTCAATTAAAAGCGAAAAGCGACGGGGTCGGGGGCTGCGCGCCCGGGTCTTCGCGGCCCGATCAATGGCGCGGAGCCTGCGGGCTGCGGAGAGCGGCGCGCCGGCCGCGGGGCACCGTGGACGGGGGCGGGCCGGGCGCCCTCTTCCGGATCGCCGAGCACCGGGCAGCGGGCCGCCCGCGAGAGGCAGCGCCCGAGGGAGGGCCCGCGAAAGCGGCTCCACCAGCGTGGAGCCGCGGCTAGGTCTCAGCCTCGCAGAGCCGAAGCCGCCCGCTTTGTGCCAAACAGGGCCAGGCCTGACAGCCCCATTGCGGACGTCCAAGCCTGTGTCCTCGGGCAGGGATCCCGGGGAAGGAGGGGCCCCAGGTCGCTGACCCCCTCTCCCCATGCACCCACCACTTTGAGGCCGACCTTGGCAGTCAAGAGCGTTTGCTCAGCCTCTTTCCTGAGAGCCGCTGGGTGCCTGGGGGCACTGGGCGCAGAGGTCTGTCTCCTCTCTGGTGTCTGCCCACCTGTGTACCCTTGGGTTGGCCAAAGCGCCAGGGGTAAATCCAACCCAAGCCCCTCCAAGGGTGGGGGTCTGAAGGAGACAGGGCAAGATGCTGAGAAATTGGGGAGGGGTCCTGGGGAGGTGGCTACAGCCTGGAGCAGGGAAAGGGATCACTGGGTCACAGCTGCTTCATATCGGGGTTCCAGATAAACAAAGTACCCTGTTAAAATTGCTGTATTGTTAATTAAACAGGTATAATCAGCAAAAAAAAAAAAGAAAAAACATCCCCTGCACTAGCAGGTGGATTCTTAACCACTGCGTCACCAGGGGAGTCACTGTGTGCAGTTAGTCCCTGTGGAAAGTCCTGTCAAGGATCTTTCACTACTTTGGGGGAGAGACTCCAGCACTGGTAAAGGGAGCTAATCATTGGTGCTGGGAAGCAGGGGGACCTCAGGGTCTGTTGGGTGGGGCAGCCTGGAAGTAGTTAAGGCAGTTCTGGTAAAGATATGATGAGGCTTGTGGATGAGGGTGGGGGTGACAAACAGGCATCCAGGTCAGAATAGAAGGTGGGGGTAGATTCAGATGGATGGAAAGTGAGGGAGTGGGGATTGGGATTTTTTCATCTGAGTGAAGGTTTCTTAAGGGCCAGAGCTGGGAAGTAAGGCAGAGGGGCTGGGAAGGTAAGTGAGGAAGCCCTTGTCCCCTCCCACATATCTGTGCCCCACCTTCTGGGGTGGAAGGGTGCTACCAGACTTACCCCTTCACCAAGTGAGGCTGCTGCTGGACCACGCAGCTGCAGGCTGCAGCCCCTTTCCTCCCCTCCTCCTCTTTAAGCCCCTTCTCCCTGTCCCCCCAGGATTCCCTTGGTCTGCGGCTGGGTGTGGAAGCAGGGTCCTGCCCGTGTGGGCCCCAGCTTCCAGGTACTCAGATGGCTCTGCAGGGATCCTCTGGACCAGGGAGGCCTGGGTACCAACCCCATTCCCAAACACAGGGCTGTGGGGGAGATTGGTCTCACCATCCCCCCTTTCCACCCCCTTCTACTCCAAGCAGAGGCCTCACCTCCTGGGCCCTCTTCATTAGCCATCAGTCCCATCCTCTCTCTTTGTGGCTTGGGCCATGTTTGAGGATGAGGAAGAACCCCTGCAGGGCCACCACCAGAAACCTCCCCATCTACCCCTGCTCTCCCACCCCACGCCCTCCCTGGGGCTGCAGCAGGCCCCACGAAAAGCCAGAGCCCCTTCCCAGCCTGGAAGCTGGGTGCTTGCTCCCTCACATTCCCTCCCTCCCTCCCTCCCTCTCCCTGGGCTCTGAGCTGTGGAGAAGAATGATTTCCTGTAATTGGCCAGCAATCCAGCTGCCCGACTTGTTCTATCGACATGCTGGTTAGCTGGAAATTGTATTGGAATCTGAGCGATGGGGAGGGGAGGGTGGGGAGCAAAGGGAGGAGGCTCTTTGGGCCCCAGCTGGGTGCAGCCTCAGCTCTGCGGGTGGGACAGAGGAGCCACCAGCCACATCTCCCCTTCCTGGGGAAGGAGCAGGAGAGCAGCCCACAGAGCCTCAGCATCTCCTGCACTTTGCTCCTTCTCATCTGCCATCTCTGGGGTCTCCCCTGGCCACCCCATGTGGCCCCGAGGCCTCGGGTCATCACTGCCACCCTACTGCCTCTCCTGCTCCTGGGACTGGTTCCTCCTGACCTGGAGTGCCTTTGTGACAGCAGCCCTGGCTGTCCCTCTCCCATCCAATTTCTAGCCATGGTGGCCTATTATGGAGTGTCCCAAACCTTCCCCTGCCCCTCCCTTCACCCTCCCAAGGACAGAGAGAGACTGAACATCTGAAGAAGAGTTGACAATAACTCCTAGCTAAAGACCCGAGGCGTCATTAATGGGGACAGTGCAGGTAGTGGGAGGGGCATTGTACTGGGAGTCCAGAGCGTGGGATTATGCCTATTGGTTACTTGGGCCCCCGTGGCTCAACCTCTGAGCCTCCTGCACTCCTTCTCAGAGTTGAGGGACTTCAAGGAGATAGCTGCGAGATGTGCTTTGGAATCTGTAAGGCTCTGCTAAGTACCCTATGGCCAGCCTGGGCCTGGGGATGGGGATGGTTTTAGGGGCCCGCCTGTCCCCTTCATCCCCCCCCCCCGCCGCCGGGAGGCCGGTGCGCCTGCAGCCCTCGCTGGCGTCTTTACTGCTCCGCGCCGGGGCGGTGAGGCCCAGAGTGGGTGAACGGAGGGCAGGGCCCGAGAGCGCGGTTGCAGGGTGGGAGGCCTGGGGAGCGTGCCGGTCGCCCTCGCACGGTGTGGAATGGGGACACATCCGTTCGCCCCGCGGCGCCAGCAAAGAGGACGCAGCGAGCCGCACGGCTTGTTAATTAGCGCCCGGGCCGGGGCCTAGCGCCCGCGCCTCCGCGGCTGGCGGGGGGATCTGACGCCGCCGCAGCACCGTAGGAGAGGCAGAAACGCCACCGGGAGAAAGTTAGTAACCGCTCGGCGAGCACCTGCCGCCGAGGCCCGACCCCAACCTGGGTGGGTGCTGCCACCTGCCGGCCGGAGGGGAGACCGCCCGCCCGGGCGCGGGGCCGGGGCTCCCGGGGTCCTGGCTCCTGCTGTATCCAAGGGGCTCCCGAGCGACCTAGACATGAAGCGACGCCCCAGGGGAAGTAGGATTCTTGTAAGGCCGTCTTGGGCCACCAAGCCTGGGAAAGGGTGGCCGTGGGGAGGTAGGCAAGAGGAGGTGAGTGGGAGCTGTAGCAGGACCTGGGCAAGGGGAGGACGGGATGGCATTTTCTCCACACCTTAACAGGCTGGCCATCCTCTGACATTCTGGCATCCAACTCAGTAGACTAGGTCAGGGAGGAAAATAACTCTGGAACTTTATAGTTTGCAAAGGGCTTTCGCTGTTCTCTGACATAAGCATCATGAAGTCAAGAGGTCACATAAGTAGGAGACAAAGCCCAGTGGGCCAGAGCGGTGCCAGGTCTGCTGCCCCTTCCAGGCAGGCCCAGGGACACAGCAGGCAGAGTTCTGAAGCCTGGCTCCGACACGAATAAGATCATCCCTCTGGGCCTGGAATCAGAATAATCAATGCTATGTTACCTCCGGGTGTCATACATCCAGCAGCGTCCGGCATGCCACACCTTCACGAAGCACCATCTTCTCAGTGACTAGGGTAACAGGGCACTGGGAGGAGTCCGTACCTTTCCTCCCTTACCCGCTCTTGCCAGGTCTCAAACCGGAGAAGCGGCTGCCCTCTGCCATTCTCATCCTGCCCTGGCCCTCAACCCACAGCCTGACACCACCTTACCAGCCCTTTGCCCCTCGCGGGTTTGCAGTGAGTTAATGAGCTGCTCTGAAGTATGAGCAGCTCTGGGAAAGGGGGCACTGAGTATGGCCACCACAGCAATCGCATTTGTCACACTCATTTCTGGTCTTAATAGGCTGCCGGCCGCAGGATCAACACATCAGCAGGTCTGCCGGCTCTGGCAAGGGGAAGCTGATGTCTACATTGGTCTAATTGGGTTGGGGAAGGAAGATGGAGTATGTGGGTGTGAGGCTGCCCCAGCACCTCCACCCACCTCCCACACAGGTACATCTGGACCTGGCTGGAATCCTCCTGGGGCCCCAGAAGAAGTCAGAAGGCAAATGTACCTTCTGGGCCAGGGAAGTGAGGAGCACAGGTCTTAGTGTGGGAGGAGGCCAAGTCTAACCCCAATGGTACCAGCCAAGTCTGGGAACCTCGGTCAGTCGGTGGTGCTGGGGGAACAATGGCAGTTCAGGGCATTTCAGATCGACACACTTTATTCAGCACCAATGGTGAGTGAGGCTCTGCACCAGGAACACAGATGATTAAGACACAGTTCCTGCCCTCAAAGGGCTTACAGTCTAGTGGGAGAGACTAACCAGTTTGGGGCTGATTATTATACTGTGGATTCAGGTAAAATGTGGGGCAGGGGGTATCCCAGAGCACCTAACCCAGCCTGGGGCTTCAGATGGTGCCTGAGCTGGAAGGTAGCCAGTTGTAGGGAAAAAAAAAAAAGGTTTTCCAGATTGGGGAGCAGCAAGGTGAAGGCAAAGAGGCCAGAAACAGCCTGGTGCACCGCGTGCAGCCTAGCAAGAGCTCAGGGAGGTAGAGTGGTAGGAGGCGGGGAGCAGGGTGTGGAGAGTGCGAGGGAAATGCCACGGTGGGACAGTGGGTCATCCCAGAAGAGGCCTGGCCTCTGCCCCACTACAGCATCACGACAAGGGAATTGTTACTGCCTCCTGGCCAAGGGCTTCAATCTACAGGGGAATCCTGCTTGAAGGCAGCCCTTGGTCTAAACTGATTTCCCATGGTCCACGCAGGGGGTTTTGGCCGTGACGGGGCACGTGCTAGGAAAGGGTTCAAGCCCAGGGACCCTCCCAGCTTTAAACACTGGTGACGGCCACTGAAGGTGCTCCTCACCCCCGCCCACAAGAAAGTTACAAGAGTCTACCACTGTTGCTTCCACAGCCCGTGATGGACACTGTTCCAGAGGGAGGGGTGCTGGGGGAGGTGGGAAGGAGCATCTGCTGACAGAGGGCTGCTTCTCTGCCTTGGACAGGATGTGCTCCGAGGAAGGGTCGGCCCAGTGCAGGGCTCCAGCCCAGATCCAGAGTGTGTGTGCTGAGGGGTTGGGAGGAAACCGGATGCATTCATTACCTGGTTTCAGCCTCTGAGGAGATGGAGACCCAGGAATTCCTGTCTTGCAGGGCCCCGCTAGGGGGAAGGCAGGAGGTAGTGGGTGAGCAGGTAGAGGAGACTGGCGATGCCGGCCAGCCCTGTGAGGACCCCGAGCCGCAGTGGCAGGTACTCTAGGGAGCGCTCCAGCTCGGCGTGCAGGAGGACCACCTGGCGTTTGGTGACGCTCCACTCGCCCGAGTTGTCTAGAACGTGGCGGGCCATGCGGGCCTTGTCCTTCAGGGGCAGCTGGGCCTTGATCCGGGCCTCTGCGTCGTCGCGGTTCAGGCTGTTCCGCTGCATCAGCCGGGCCAGCTGCGTGTCTCGGTCACTAGGGACCGGGCAGAAGGGCTGCTCAGACATCACAGGTCCCGGCCTCCCTCCCAACGGTGCGTGACAGGGGTGGACAGCCCTGGAAGCTCCTGGGCTCCCCCCACCACACCCCACTCTTTGTGAGCACCCCAGTAGCACGATGGGCTACCTGAGCCCCTTAGTATAAATGTGGAGGGAAAAGGGGGCAGCTGCTGTTTTCTGCCACCTGGGGTCTCTCCGCTTTGCCACCAGGCCCGAGACTCCCCAGTTTTAAGATGGGAGGACTTGATCACCTGGAATCAGCTACATCCTGCATCCCTGGATGGATGAGCTTTACTGAAAGACCTGTGTCTGCAAGCTAATCACTTCCTTCAGTTCCCCTGGGGGCCTGGCCCTGCGGCATCAAAAACAGCTTCCCGGTCCACCACAAAGAGCCCTCTCCTTGTCTCCCCACACCTAGTCCTGCACATTCAGAGCAAAAGGACTGGGCTGAGACGGTGGCCACTGGGCTTGATGCCACCGATGAAGTGGGATGCACGGAGCCCAAGAGGAGCAAGGACTTGAGAACTGGATCCCCTCGGTCCTTGGGACAGGACTGAGCACTGCACAGTAAGCCAGGCAACGCCCAGTCTCCCAACGCAACAGGAAATACAAAGAATGCCTCGCGCGCGCTCTGATGTTACCGCCTGGGTCCTTCCTCGGCAAACTCCCTGTCCTGCTTTTGGCTACACAGGAACTGCCCAGCTGTCCTCTGGAATGGGGCCATCTCTGTGAATGCCTAAGCCCTCAATAGGAACCAGGCGGGAAAGGGCTGCAGCAGCTGTTTTCTGCCATCTGGGGTCTCTCTGCTTTGCCACTAGGCCTGAATTTTCCCGGTTATAAGATGGGAGGATTTGATGACTACAGTTTAGTCCCCTCCTACTTGTGGCCTAGACCCAAGGGCCTCCTGGGATGTGAAGACAGACTTTCCAAGGACAGACATAACTGAACACTAGCCAATCCCAACGCCATTCAGAACTGAACGTGGCAGGAAGTCACTTCTGGCTGACTGATCAGGGAAGACCTTGTAGAAGGATGGCATTTGCACTAGCCTTAGAAAGTAGGTAGGACTTCTGATTTCCTTTGTTAGAAGGACAGCATACTGTCAAGGTCATGGGGCCAATCCCTGCCTGGCTAAGAACAAGGACTATAGCCAACCCTAGTCAGGGACACTGCAGATCTGTGGCTGGGAAAGTCTGGGTGAGAGAATGGAGATGGCCTGGGGCCACCAGTGAGCGCACACCCTTCAGACGGTGAGGCCGAGACCGGGGGCCTCCTGGGATGTGAAGGCAGAACTCTCTGACAGCCCTTCCTGGAGCTCAGGGATAGTCCCAGATGGTTAAAAGACTGACGTTGTTTGTGGTAAGGGAACTTTTGCCCAAACATTTATCCCACAATTGGCAAGCTCCTTGAAAAAGCGAATAATCACATTTTGGTATAATCACACTTTGGTAAACGCCCATATTATTTCAAATGCCAATTAAAGGAGTCCCTGAGGGGGGTCCTTATTTTTGTAAAGCGTGGATCCCTTTTATGAAAAGCAAATAATCACTCATTCATCTCTTGGGCATCTCTCAAGAGCCATACAACCACATGTGGTAAAAGTGGGGCATGTATGGCACCCGAGACCCTGGGAAAGGCTGCTCTGGCTGGTGAGTGGGGCTGGAGGATCTCCTGGGGAGCAGGCAGAATCTACAAAGCTCCAATTATGCGCCAGGAGCCACAGCTATCTCTGCTCTTAGCAAAAGGAAAGCATAGGATGCGGAAGGTGGCAGGGAAAGCGTGGAGTCACCTAGTGACTGCAGACACAACCAGCCCCCGTCTTGTTTACTCACCTACACTCTAATAAGACTTTCTTTTTTGAATCCCTTGGTACAAAGTTTCAATTGTATTAAAATTCCAAGGCAAAGAGAATTCTGTCCTCCTGGAGTTGGCCTGGCCTCAGCTGATAGTCCTTCACAAACAGAGAACAAAGAACCCAGAGAGGCTGCAGGATTACAGGGCGAGACAGGGGCCAGTGGGGGAGCGAAGAGGATGCCTGAGTCCCTGCACCAGGCTCAGCAGATTCAGGCTGCCTTTAAATGCCAACCCACAACGGGGCGCTGGGGCAGAGGGCAGGGTGATGCTTAGGGCGCTGAGCACTCCAGGCCCCGCCTCCAGTGTGCTCGGAGACTCCCCCACCATTAGTCTCTTGAGAGCAACCCTGTGCCCAAAGTACCTGCAGAGCCAAGTGTCCACCTCTGTGTCTGCTGTACTTATGGGTGGCATCCAGGAAGTTTCTGGAAGGCAGAGACACCCTGAAGCCTCATTTGCACTCTCACTCCGCTGGGACTATGACTCATTTTCTCTGACAGCCTGATCCTCCTCTGTTTGCCAAATCCTGGATTCTGGTTTGCTTCATGTCCTGGGGGACATGAACAAAGCTCCTTCCTTAGCTGGGTTCTGACAACTCCTTCTCGGCAACTTTCTGTTCATAGATTTTGCCGATGGGTGACCCTGGACAAATTCTGTAACTCTCTGCCTTGAGTTTTCTATAACTCAGAAATATCAACTCCTGTCCTGACTACCTTATGTTGAGAGGTAAACTGAGGGAAGCAATAAATGTTTGGAAAGTTGAGAAGTGCTGCAGGAGGGAAAAGGGAACCAATGAATAAGAACATGGTCGCCCAGGGCAGGGCCCCTGCTGAAGTGCCTCCAATGGCCAGCAGGGGGAGCCCTTCCCAAGCACTAGAGAGACCTGGGGGCCATCACTCCCCCCCATCTGCTCCCAGGCACATCTGGGTCAGGCACAGAGGTCAGTTTCTATAGGCTCTGGACCCTGCTCCCCAAAACCTCTGGGCCTCCTGGCCACCCTGTGGGGAAAGGGCAAAGTGCAGGGGGCCGCTTTGCAGGTACATGCTTTACCCCAGGGGTCCTCCTTTCCAGCCTCGGTCAGGCCGGGCCGTGCCACACACTCACCAGTACACCACCACTGTGTGCTTCAGGTACTTGAGCAGTTTCTTGGTCTCAAACAGCAGGGGGATATCCAGAATCACGTAGCGGTATCCTGGGGGGAGGCCGGGAAACCCACAAATTCAATTCTGCAAGCACACACAGGACTATGTGCTCAGCGTGGGAACAGAGTCCAAGCCACTGCCCCCTACCATCAGGAGCTGCCCGGCAGAGGGGGAGACCTTCCGAGGAGAGGCATAACCTGACTGCTAGCCAGTTCCAGTGCCATTCAGAACACAAAGCTGCAGAAAGCCATTTTGGGGTGGATGATCCAAGAAGACCTTACAGAAGGGATGGCATCTGTACTGGCCTTGAAAAGCGGGTAGGACTTCTGATACTTGAAAATGAGCAGGTGGAGGTGAGGGTTCCAGGAAGGGGAAGAGCTCTGGCGGAAGTGGAGGCCTCGAGCAGAGTGAGGCGAAGCTGACAAGGTGGTCGGGGCAGTCACAAAGGGTTGAGTTCACTTGGTCTTCAACCCAGAGAGTTGTTATTTCTGAACAGGGAGGTGACACAGCCAGAGCTGTAGGAGACTGGAGAGAGTTTCCAGGAATAAGTGGGCCTATTCTGCCCTACTTCACCCACTTTTCCTCAAAAAAAGAGAAAAAAAATGATAGGTTCTCCACCAGGAGCCAGATCCTGCACGGCGCTCTCTGCCGACTCTCCACGAGAAACTCCTATGGGGTGGCGGCCGCAGCAGCCCCAGAGGGAAAGAGGCTGCTTCTCGGCGTCAGAGGCCGCCTCCAGCCAGGGATTACAGGTACGACTCTGGGGGGTGGGGGTGGTTATGACTCATACTACAGAAGTAACTCCCGTGGGGTAAAAGGCACCGACTAGCCCTCCCACTGCAAGCCAAGGCCGGCCAAGGGGGTGCACCCTCACCCACTGTGTGCGGGCATGTCCCTGGGCTACTCGCCCAGGAACACCTGGGGCTCCTAGTTCTCTTCAGGCAAGTGACCGCTGTGTAAGTGTGGAAGAGCTGGCAGGGATCCAGGAGCAGTGAGAAGCGGGGGGGTCATGAGATGGGCTCAGATGACACGCCTTGGTTTGTCGCCACCACTGTCTCCCTTTGGGCCCCTTACCAAACCCCACCTGTGTGAATGAGTGAACAGATGGCCCGCTTCACAGGAAGATGGTAAGGATTACATGAGCAAATGCCTGTAAACCCCTCAGCAGCCCCTCACCCAGACCCTCACTCACCGCTCCACAGATGATGGCTGGCTGTTATTACTACAGCTCCCTGGAGGAAGGAGGCTGGCAGTGCTGGCTCCCCAACTCCTGTCCAGCCCAGAACAGGGGCCGAGACCAGGTCCTCACTGGGCCTCTTACCTCCCTTTTCTGCTCCACTCCCGTCCCTTCCTCTCCCTGCACTGTCCTTTCTCCTCGGCCCCTCTCGGGAGCTCGCGGACAGCTCTATGCTTCGCTGGCAAAGGGCTATTCAGCTGTCACATCCCTCCTGCTTGATAAGCTCTGCAAACCACCCTGACTCTATTAAGATATCCGTCTGCCTACGCGGAGACCTCCCAACAGCTGGTGATCTTATCTGACGTTTGATTATACCAACTCTGACAGTTGTATTTGTTATACTCATCAGGGGAAAACTGGGACTGTGGAAGCCACAGCTGTCGTCCCCATTTTTCACCTTATCGAGCTGAAAAGAGCTTTCTGGCTTTTATTTAAGTGGTGGTGGCTGGGGAGAGGGGAAGTTGGGTGGATGACACAGCGGGAGAACTTTGGAGCGGGTGACATTATCCGATGCTTAATTTCAGAAGGGGAGAGCCACTGCTGCCTCAAAGCCCTGCAGATAGAGGTACTCGCGCCTGGCCTGGGAGCGAACGCGAAAGGGCAGGAATGAAAGGCAGAAGGCCTCATTCCTGGCAGGGGTGGGCAGTGACGGGAAGGGTCTTGGCACAGATACAAGAGGCAGGACAAAGGTAGCAAGAGTCCTGAGACTGCCCTTGAGGGAGGAGGCCTGCAGCAAGGTACTGAGATGGCGAGCAAAAGCTGGTCCAGCAGGGAGGATGCTGGGAGCCAGCTCCTGCCTGGCCAGAGCTGGGGGGCGGGGAAGGGAGGGTCAACATCAAGGATGTCTGTCAAGTCATCCCTTTCCTTCTGGAGGGAGGTACTGGCCAGAGGGGACAGGAGTGGGGAGAGGGTCCCCACTCTGTACATGAGAACTTGACACATGGGAGAATCTGGCCATGATCACAGTGCAAAAGCCCGAAGAAAAGCAAGAAGCCTCCCCCATACCCTCCAGGAAGCAAAGTCTCAGCCTCGTGACTGACAGGAGACAATCAGCCAGGCCTTCAACCCGGAGCCTGGGCTGGAGGCTCCATGGCCTAGCGGCTGACAGGCCGCTCTGTAGGGGCCCTGGGCCAGCCTCTCGCCTGATCCTAAACCATTGCTCTCAGCTCTCCCCGTTCTCCTGGGGACTGACCCCATCCTGGACAGTAAAGGTCAGGTCACCCCTGCCCAACGCCATCCTGAAGAACCGCGCTTGGACTGTAGCGTACGGCTTGGGAAAGGCTGCCACAGACCCCTGCTTTTCAAACACTCTCCCCTTCCTTCAGTCCTGCCGCATCACTTGGCCGTCCCTGAGCACACCAGGCTAGCTCTCTCCACTGAGACCCAGCCCCCAAGGATCATCCTCCACTTAGAACCCGCCCCCACCGGCCCTGGCCATCCCGGAGCCTCCCCACCTTACACTCTGCAAACTTACTTTCCCAGGCGGCTCAACCAGCACCAAACCTGACTGACTGCGGTTTACACTGTCGTGGTGTTTGACAGTCACGGTGTAGACTTTTAGCCTCCCTAAGAACTTGCCCAGGTTGGCATTATTAGCCTCACTATGCAGAGGAGGAAACAGACGGAGGGGGTGGGTGCACTCAACAGTCACACTGCCGGAAACCGTGAGGGCCAGGACTTAAACCCAGGTCTTATGACTCCATTATTCGCCAGCTACTATGACTCCCACCCTATTAGAAAAATCAGCTTCCTGGGGTTCATGGCTCAAAAGCCTCAAGTGTCTCTTCTCATTAAACTGTCAGCCCCCTTAAGAGTTGAGGGACATCACTTCTCTCTGGGGCTGGTACAGGGCTGCACGGAGGATGCCAATGAGCAGAGTGAACTCAACAGCCTGGATGATAATCAGCTCCTCCCCCCGCTCCCCCCCCACCCCCGCCAACCTTTCTGCAGAGGAGAAGGGCCTGGGCCCCACCCCGTCCCAGGCCCCGGGGTCTTACCCCGGAGGAAGAACTTGAAGGTCTCCTTCATCATTTCCTTGCAAATCTCGGGGTGGGTGATGGAGTTGAGCAGGTGCCGCCGGTCGGGCTGGTTAAAGATCAGGTCCCCCAGGACCTTTCGATCGATGTCGCCATTCTCCAGCAAGACCTCAGTGCCGAAGGCCTCCACGATACGCCGGTGGGCGGGGTACCCTGGCTGGACGACTGTGGCATGAAGAGGAGCCTGGGTCACTCACTGGAGCCTCCAGCCCAGCCAGGGGACTCTGAGTGACCAGAGGCAAAATGATGGCGGAACCCAGGGGTTCTTCTTTCAGTTGCAGCAAAAACAAGATGAGGGGAAGGAAAGCAGGGAGGAGAGCAGAGTGCACAGAATCCCTGGTGTTGGTCATGGGGTGAGGGGAGCTGGAGGGAAGAGTGGGGGTGGGGCAGTAGGGGGCAGGAGACCAGGGCTGATGGGAAGGCCCCCCCCTCCTCTGAGGGCTTGAAGGGCCTTATGAAAAGGTGAGGCCTCATGGAAGGAAGGGAGCCCAGGGCATCTGCTGTGTACAACCCGCCCCCCCAACTCACCATGCCGGGCAATGACGTCCACATCAATCACCGCACAACCCAGCTGCTGGAACACCTGGATCACTGAGCTCTTGCCTGAGGCAATGCCCCCTGTCAGGCCCACCAGGAACATCTTCCTAGGAAAGAGGGAGGTCACCAGAGGCCAAGCTCCCCAGTTGCGATGGTCCCGCACAGGAACGCCGAAGGACCTGCCTGTGGCACAGAGCAGGCCTGGTCAGTGTGGAGCCAATGGCTGGGGGACAGCAAGGCAAAGGCGGGGGAGGGAGACACAGCTGGCCAGGCAGAGCCAAGGCCTGAGCTCGGGAGGCTCAGGGTCCACCCGAGACAGAAAACTCTTTCAGGAGAGGCCTCCGGTGTTCTTTTAAGGACACTCATGAAGAAGGCAAACTAACACTGTATAAATTTAGCAATTAAAACGCTGAGCAGGCAGAGCAAGGTCGGGTGCTATTAAGCAAAGAGAGCTTTCTGGAGGCTGCTGTACCCCACTGCAGGCAAGCTCCCATAGGAAAGGGACACCTGTCCCTCTGGGGTGAACCCAAGGCGCTCTCCAGATGGCCCCAGCCTCCGCTTTCTAGTCTGGGACACTGAGGCTCACGGGGAGGAAATGGCCTGCCTGCCACACCCTAGCACCGGCACCGGGAGGCCTGGAGACTGATGTACACTGAGAGGAATAATCCCTCCTTCTCATCTAAGAAGCAGCCCAGGTGGGGAGCTCAGTGAGAGGCAGTGGCTGAGTGGCCACTAAGCCTGAGGTTTAGAGAAGTGTGGATCGTGCCAAGAAGGAACGAGGGAAGGAAAACAGGCTTGGTGGGGAGGTAGCCTTCAGCCTGGCGTGGTGATCTGCGGTTCTCAGACTGAGCAGTTGCAATACAGCACAGAGGCTAGGAGCACAGACCCTTCAAATCCAGTTGCTCCACTTGCATGCTGTGCAACCCGGGGCAAGTCACTTGCCTCTCTCAACCTCAGTTTTTTTCATCCATAAAATGGGGGTAAAATGCAGATGACAGAACCTGCCTCCTAAGGCTGTTGTGCAGACTGACTGAGAAAACACATCTACAGCCCTTGGTGCACTGCCACTAACGTGGTAAATGCCCTGGAAAGGAGGTGAGGGTGCTGGTGCAGGACGGATGCTGTGAGTCAGTCATACTGCAAGGCATGGAAAGAAAAAAAAGACTTTCATGAAGTCAGGTCCCCATTCCTGCAGCCTCAGACGATCTCACAGTAGATTTTAAGCCGTGTTGCATTTTCAGTAAACATGGTTACCATGTCCTGGACTCTGTTCCCAAACTGGGAGAAATTAAATCAAAGGCCAGGTCTCTCCCATCCTTCCTTCAGCATCAAAGGATGTCCAGGACCCTGAAACCTGTCCTAGGACTTTTTTTTTTTTTTTGGTTAAACAGCAGATTTACTGTCCTAATTACATTTTGCTTGAGCTTATACTGAAATGAGTCTGCTTCCCCTGAGGACACACTAAACGACAGGGGGAGGCAGCCGCTCGGGTGTGGGCTGAGTGGGTGGGTGGCTTGGGGCAGCAGGGGACCAACCTAGATGTTTAAATCTGCCCGCGCTCATTCTCACCCAGGGAAGCCAGGGAGGAGAGAGGAAAATATCCACCAGAATCATCATCCACATGGAGAGATCTAACTAAATTATCAAACCGTTTACAAGGCATTTCTCTACAATCTCTCTGAGACTGGAGTTGCCCCCAGGTAGGTCTCCCTCCAGCTTACAAAAGAGGATAGGGTTCACTTGCGGGGGAAAAAAAAAAATTCATCCACTCAGCTGAAGCTTTTTAAAATTTTTTTAATTAAAAAAAATTTTTTTTGGCCGGGCCGTACGACTTGTGGGACCTTAGTTCCCTGACCAGGGATTGAACCTAGGCCCTCAGCAGTGAGATCGTGGAGTCTTATCCACTGGACCACCAGGGAATTCCTTATTTATTTATTTTTGGTAAGCTTTGAAATGGGATATTCAGCACCAGCGTTTTAAATCCAAACTCTGTCCTATTGTCCCTAAAGCACTGGGTCCTCTTCTGCGGAAGACCCATCTTGAGAACAGGCCGCAGCTGAGGGAAGGGGCAAGGGCTGGTTCTCCACAAGGCCCTGACCCCTCATCGATGAAAGCAAGCCACTGTCACCTGGTCACCCAGGTTTGCCGAGTTGGGTAAGGGGGCCTGTAAGACCATGTGGCCGAACAGACCTCACCTCCTTCCTGTACACAGGACCAGGATCCGCCTTGAGACCTACTGAGTCAGATCTTGGTGTTGGGGGGTGGAGGTACCCAGGCAGTTCTGCTGTGCAACAGGGCTTGGGATGGACTCTTTGTTTACGATGGTAAAGACTGAGGACCAGAGAAGAAGGGACTTGCCCAGGACCACAACTAAAAGCAGAGCCTGGATGGAATTCAGGGCTCCTAACTCCAAGTCTAGACCCCTGCCTTAATGTACCCCGGGAATGGAAACTTAATTTACATTTAGATTAAGACAAAATAAGGATGGCGCATCCGTCTGTAGGCAAATCAATTTGGGGCCAAAGAAAAATTATTTCTTGATGATCACACTGGTGTTTTCCCTCTGCAGAATAGGGGGCCAGATCTTATGGACAACCACCAGGGCACAGAGATAAATTCCAGGCTCAATTCTGCCCCAGCCTCCTTGGGTAACCCAGTGAAGATCTTCCCTTCTTGGGGCCTTGGATGACCATCTGTAGAAACAGACTAACAGCTGCTTGGCCTCTGCCAGGAAGGCCAAGGGGATGGAGGAGCACATGCCCAGGGAAGCTGTGGGCCCCTGGCTTAAAGGGGCTGGACAAATAACAGCTGTTCCCATTTGACAAGCCCCTCCATAGCTCACTCCTTCATGAACCGCTGAACGAGTTCCTCTGTGCTTTGCAGCAACCAAAGGAAAACAGGTCTTGCCCCACAGGAAAATTCTGAGAGACAGACAGTAACAAATGGAACCAACCAATAACAGAGCACTGACAGGTGAGCGAGAGCGATCACGTGGTACTCACCCTGGGCCTGGGGAGGGTGGGGGATGGGTCTGCCCAAGAGCCGTACTGACCGAGAGCCCACTGTCCCCTTAAGGCTTGGCAAGGAGGTAACGAAGGTTTAGGTTCCCAGCTGCCTCAAAGTCAGGCACCCAGATCCACGCAGACCTGTCCCGTAGCTCCTCTGCAGGCACCTACCAGAAAAGTGACCACCTTTGATATCCTCTTCTTGATCTGGCTCAAAAATCATCGAAAAGCTCACGATATGTGTGGCGATGCTGAGTGGGGGAGGGCATCAAGAGTGACGGGGGTCATTGTTTTAAACGAGGGACCAGAGCAGTCACTCTGAGTGAGGACCTGAAAGCAGCGAGGAAGCAGGCCACCTCTCTCGGTGCAGCCTCGTCCACCCCCCAAACCCAAATCAGGCCTCTGACATCTCTCACCACTTCATTTCCTCTCCTTCCCGTGTGCCCACTGTGCTTTGTACTTTTGTGTGACTACGTGTTAGATAAAATAAGCTCCACAAGGTCACAAGCTGTGTCCAGTTTGGACCCTTTTGTCTCTAACATCTAGCCCGGTGTCTAGTGACTGTCAGTCGCTCACCAGGTGAGTGATATTGGTCACGTTATTTAAGCTTTCTTTGACTTAGTTTCTTCACCTGTAAAATGGAGCTAAGGACACCTACTCTGGGTTGCCATGAAGAGTAAATGTGTTAATACATGCAAAGCACTCAGAACAGTACCTAGCACACAAGGAACCCTCAACCAATGTTCCCTTCTTGTTCTGACAGACTGTTTGATAACTATGCGTAGAATGAATGACTGAATGACTCCAGAAGCAGGAAAGGGAATGGGAAATACTTGGGGGTCACATTCTCCCCTCAGTGGCAAAGGGTAGGCTCCCAGCCTGCTCCTCTTTCCATAAGAACATGCTGCTCACTGCCAGTAAATCCCTACAGGAGAAAAGTGCAAACAAACAAAACACCCAATGGGTTCAAGCAGAATAAGGAACTGAGGGACTTCCCTGGTGCTCCAGTGATTAAGAATCTGCCTTCCAGTGCAGGGGATGTGGGTTCGATCCCTGGTCAGGGAACTAAGATCCCACATGGCACGCCACAACTAGAGAGAAGCCTGCGTGCTGCAACTAAGACCCGACACAGCCAAAAATAAATAAATAAATAAATAAATAATGTGGGTTTTTTTACAAAGAAGAATAAGGAACTGATATGTGAATGGACACACTTTCTTTCCTCCCTCGGGAGAGCTCGGGACTTGGGTTGGAGGCGAGTTCTCTTGTTTTGCATCTCCCAATCAACAGCCCCACACCGGCCTGCCCAGCCAGGGCCCGCTCCCTCATTAACTTCTAGCCTCTTTCCTCCTCCTTCTGCAGCCTCTCAGGATTTCACCCTGGGCATGTCTGACCAGCCACACGCTTCTCCTCTGAATTACTTTCCAAAGGGGATGTATCCACGTTGCTCCAATGATCAATATAATCATTCATGAAAACGAGTTGTTCCCTGCCTTGGGACCCAATTATTTTCTTGTGGAAGCAGTGGTTGCAAAAATATATTGTTTTCCAATTAACTGATAAGTGCTATTTTTATCTACAGTTTCCTGGCTCCTGATCTTTCATTATTGGTGAGAGGCTGCTGTTCAAACCTCGGTCCGAGTTCTCTTCTCTTCGTCTGCTGGGCCTATTAAGTCACCACCTCCTTCTCCAGGCTGCCAATGACCTGGAGGGAGGCCCCAGAGCAGGTGCTGGCGGTCAGCCTCCCTCTCCCTCGGCCCTCACCAACACCAAGGGAAGGGAGGGAGGGAGGGAGCAGGTCTTTCTTCTAGAGCCCTCTCCAGGCACACACCATCACTCCAGGGAGCTTTCATGGGTGGACAGGGAGGTCGTTTGGACTGGACTACAACACTGGCGTTGATGCAGAAAAAAGGATCACGGGGAATGCCAAATCTCAGGGGCTGTGAACGCAGCCACGTGGCCTAGGGCAATTTACTTCAGAGCTGTGGGCTTCTATTTCCTTGCATATAAAACGGGATTAATAATGACTACTCACGGGGGTTTCGTCAGGACTGAATGAGGTACCATATGCCCCCATCACCTCATCTTCCCCAACTCAACGTGTGACACGTCGGTGACTGCTGTCTACTCCCTTTCCCTGAAGGGCACCTCCGTCCTTTCAGCTGCTCAGGCCAAAACCCTCGGCACCCTCCTGGCTCCTCTCTCACAATCTTCATCCAACTCACCCGCGCCCCCTGCCAGCTCTACCTTCCAGCTTCACCACCTAGACAGACACTCCCGCCGCCCCCGCCCCCCACAGCCCCGCCCACCCCGCCCGCCGTCTTGCTCCTGGATTACCGCAGCAGCCTCCGAGCGATCTGCTGCCACCTTTGCTCCCCGACAGTCTGTCCGTCATAACAGCTAGTGTGGTTGGATAGTGTCATCCCTCTGCCAAAACCCTCCAAGGTCCCCGTCTCACTTCAAGCCCAGTCCTCAGAGTCCCGTAGGGGTCTCCTGACAGACACAGCTCCATTCTCTCCAGGCACCCACCACTCCCCGCCTCGAATGAGACCCTCCAGCCACCCTGACTGCCTTGCTGCTCCTTGACCGTGCTGAGCACTCCCACCTCGGGCCTGTGGACACGCTGTTCCCTCCACACACAAGGTCCTTTCCCCCAAGGGTCGCACGGCTCACCCCCTTCTCCGCTCAGTTGTCACCCTATCAGAGACTGCCCTGAATATGTAAAATAGCACCGTTTCCCTCGTGTTTCACTTTTCTTCACTGCACTTATCACCCCTCAAATATTATGTCTATGTGATTATTTATTGTAATCTTCCTCTCTCCCTAGAATCTGAGCACTATTGAGTTCAAGGTGCTTAAAACAGGGCCCGATGAGCAGCAGGGCCTCAAACAATATCGGCTGAATACTGTACGTAAAGCACACAGCAAAATGTCCAGCTCATGAGTAAGCAGGAACTCAACATTAACTATTTTAAAATAAGAACATATCTGTTCCAGAAAACGTACTGTGACAATCACAAAACCTCTTCCACATCACTTCCCACCCCCACATTCCTGGGCTGAGATATCTTGGGCTCACAAATGAGGAAACCGAGGCAAGGAGTGCCTAGGAAGCTGAGTGTCCCAGCAGGCAGGGGCTGGAGTGTAAGAGCTGCCATCCACAGTCTGAGCTGCTCCCTGTGTGCCTGGACGTCGTGGATCCCATCTGATCAGCACAATGACCCAAAGAAGTCAGTTCTTACTTATTCCCACTCTAAAGGTGAGGAAATGGAAGGTAAAAGAAGTTAGGTATTTGCCCACCGTAGTTCCAAGTGGTCTTCGTACTGGAGGAGGCACAAAGATTTTCCAAGGGACACAAAAACATGGTTTAAGAGGAATAAATTTCAACTCAGTTTGCCAAGTGTCTCCCTATGAGAACAGATCAGACTTGGAACGTGCTGCAGGCTATCTTTTCCCAGGTTCCCAGAAAGGTGTAACTACCCACCCATGCCAAATTTTACTAAGGTGCATTGTTCCACGGTGCAAAATACCCCTGGCACCCCAAAGGGGTAATTCAAAATATAAGTATTCATGCCAAGAATGTGATTGTTTATAGTGACCACGTAACAAATTCTCCTGCTGAGTCCGGTGCTTTCTAAACCTTTGCCTTCAGTAAAGTTAAAGGAGGACCTAAAAGAACTGTCAGCTGACAAGTCATTAGTAATTGACATCACGGTGATTTTTTGGCCCATAACTCAAAAGATGTTCAAAGAGTTGAGTATTACTGCCACAACGAAATGTCTTCAACTCCTCTGTATTTATTTACAAGAACCAACTTTTTCAATGCTTACGGGCACGAGAGAAAAAAAAGCTCTGCTCTTTCTAACAAATATACATGGATACGTATATGAATTTTTTAAAAAGTTCCATTTGGCTTATTAAGAGAAGCATTTTAAATAAAACTTATGTTTAACAATGATCAAAACTAGTTGTTGTGGTCAATTGGGTATTTTACAATTTTTGAACTCAATCCAAAAGAAAATGTTTAATATTATGACAATACAATTTTCAAAAGTGTTTTAATTTTTGTACGTATTTTTGTTGCAGAGAAGTAGGACAACAAACCAAAGACTTCGAGCATAAAATCGATTTTACTAGAAAAAAATTCTGTGGAGGAAATATAGTGGAAATACGAGTTCAAGGAGGAAAAAGGAACAATGTAAAATTTCAACCGTTAAATAAAAACTGGTGGAATTACCTGGTGGCGCAGTGGTTAAGAATCTGCCTGACAATGCAAGGGACACAGGTTCAAGCCCTGGCCCAGGAAGATCCCACATGCCGCGGAGCAACTAAGCCCCGTGTGCCACAACTACTGAGCCTGCTCTCTAGAGCCTGCAAGCCACAACTACGGAAGCCTGCGAGCCACAACTACTGAGCCCACGTGCCACAACTACTGAAGCCTGCGCGCCTAGAGCCCGTGCTCCGCAATAAGAGAAGCCATGACAATGAGAAGCCCACGCACTGCAACGAAGAGTAGCCCCGGCTCACGACAACTAGAGAAAGCCCGCGCACAGCAACAAAGACCTAACACAGCCAAAAATAAAAAAAAAAAAAAAAAAAAAAAAAAAAAAAAGAATCCGCCTGCCCATGCAGGGGACACGGGTTCAAGCCCTGGTCCCAGGTCCGGGAAGATCCCACATGCCGCGGAGCAAGCTCGTGCGCCACAACTACTGAGCCCAAGCGCCACAACTACTGAGGCTGAGCTCTAGAGCCCATGAGCCACAACTACTGAAGTGCGCACACCACGATGAGAAGCCCGCGCACTGCAATGAAGAGTAGCCCCCGCTCGCCACAACTAGAGAAAGCCCCCCGCGCAGCAACTAAGAGCCAACGCAGCCAAAAGTAAGTAAATAAGTAAATTTATATATTAAAAAAACCCCTATATATTAAAAAAAACTGGTTCATGTATTCTTTTCAAAGGATGAGGGAAATCAAATCACTATGGTATTTAGATTCCACTGCAGATTTAAGTGCCTAATGTAACAGTTTTATTTTTTAAATGTCAATATTTACAATTAACCAAAAATCATATCCTCTGAAACTTTCAGAGAAAAATTTCTGCAATCTAAAAATGGGAGAGTGGGTAGTTTTCAAAACAAAGCTAAGCTCACTGCTACTGCTGGCCTGCCTTCAGCCCTAAAGGCACAGGTACTAAGTGAGGTTCTGAACCCTTTAACCAGGCTACCCAGGAGGACACATTCAGACCTTGCTCGAAAGACAGAAGAGGATCTGGTGGGAATTTAGGGCTCGAAGGAAGAACCACCCCAACTGGCCTGTCCACTTTCTATCATCAGCCAGATCTCTAGCATTTCATCGTGTCCCCAGGCCTGTCTGCACCCTGCCAAATCCATCTGATTCATTTAGGCAAAATCTGCACAGCTGGCCCCCAAAGAAACCATATGCAAAGGCTTCCATTTCCTCAACTTTAAAACTAGGACTTAACGTCAAAGTTCATTCGGGTGACAATTTCCGCATAACTGGGAGAGAAACATCTTTGAAAACTTCGTAAACAAACTCAGCTCCAGAGGCGCCAAAGCCTCCGTTTGGGAAGCTGGGAGGCGGAGAAAAGCAGGGGGTCAGGCTGCCCTCTTCATCAATGCATAAGTGGGAACTCCATGCCTCCAATTTTTCATATGAGCAGAGTCGGAAAGGTACCCAAGATCACACAATAAGTGGCAGACGCTGGATTCAAAAATCAAACTTATATCTGACCACAAAGGTCTGAAGTGCAGTAGCTTTGGACTGAACCAGAGTTTGAATTCAATTTCCACCGCCTTCTAGCTGTAAACCTTTCTCGGTTTCCACAGCTGTAAAACAGGGAAAACATCACCTTACTTAGTAGGGTTGCTGTCAAGGCAATGAGCCATGGAGGTAAAATAGTATGTGCTCAATAAACTGTAACCAAGGCTTGAAAGAAAGGCGCGTACTCTACGCTACACCACGCAGCACGACTAGTGCGCCCAGAGCCCGGCACCGGGACACAATACCTCCGGGGTGGACCCAGCTCTCCGGGGTGGCCTGAGCGCCCAAGAGACCAATGCAACCCCGGGAGCCGCCGCCGGGAGCCGCCGCCCGGCCCGCCCCTCCCCGGGCCCGGCAGCTCCCACTTGCCCGTGCGGCGCTCTACGTACCCGGGGCCTCTGACCCGGCCTCGGAAGCCGCGTTTCGCCCAGTCCCACAGGCGTTCACTGGGTGGCTCCCGGAGGGTAGTCGAGGCCTCAGGGGCGCGCGCACGCGGACCGGACGTCCGGCCAGCGGAAGGGGGCGGGACCGGGGAGGCGGGGCGGGACCGGGGAGGCGGGGTGGGACCAGGGAGAGGAGAATCGGGAAAACGCGCAGACCTAGAGCGCTGGGCCGCTGGGGACAGCAGGGTTACTCCTCTCTCCGAGCCAAAGCCTTTCCAAGCTGGGGGAGAAAATCCGGAGAGTCCTAGCTTCGAATTCAGGACTGGCCATCACTAGCTGTGCAGCCTCTAAGCACATTGCACCTGCCAGGTCTTAAGAGCACTCTGTAGGCATTAATTATCTCATTGAATCCTCACAGTCCTTGAGGTAGATACCGTCCGTCATCCCCATTTTACACAAAAGGAAACTGACATTTAAAGGTTAATCCGTTTGCCCTCTCTTAAAATGTACGTTGGCCGCAGAGCTCATTATGTCCATACAAGCCTAGTAAGTCACTTTACCTCTCACTCTCTCTCCTCAATCAAAGTGCAAATAATCGCTACTGTGCTGCTTGTTGAAATAATTGGAAATACATAAAAGCATCTAATGGTGCCTCACATATAGTAGGTGGTCCTTAATTAACTCCTACTCTACCTCCTTTCCCTCTCCCTTAACTGTACTTCTGCTTTCTGCTTCCTTTAAGGTAGGAATCTTGTCTATCTTCACCACTAGTATCCTCAGTGCCTAGAACAGTGCCCATCATAGTAGGGATCCAATACACTGAAGGATGAAGTAATCCAACATCTTTCTCTGATCGCTCCAGTCCCTGAAACCTTTCTCCTTGATATCAACAGCACTGGCTGACATCACCCAATAAATAGGATTGCATCTTATGATCAAAGGGACCATTTGGTCCAAACACCTGTCTAGATCATCTCTGCTACCTCTACTTGCACATGTCCAGAGTCAGCAAACTCACTGTCTTTCGAGACACCTTCATGCTATCTTTGAAGTCCAGTCCTGGCAGTTAGAAAGTTTTTCCTTAGGTAATATCTCTCCTAATTCTAATCCATAGGGTCATACTAAAACATTTCTAATTCCTATTCCATAGCACCAGATCTAATGGCCCAGTTCCCTTCCTGGACCAAACAACTTTCAGATAACCTCGATTTGTGGTTCTCCACCTTTTCCCTACTCCTGACACATCAGAGGGGTACTCAGACTCCCATCAGTAACCATGGCTGGCCATGGCAGTGATAGGAATAGGAAGATGCCTGCCCCTCCCCCAAGGTATAAAGCTCTTCCTGGGGTACATTGTTAGGAAACCCCTGCAAGATGATCCTGCTTTTCCCGGATTCTGCCTTACAGTATTGTGAGCTACTGATGTACAAGTGGGGGCTCTGTTTTCTAAGTAGGCATCCTTGTGGTCCAATCTGCCAACAGCAGATGCCTCTCTGCTCTGGGATGATCGGGGAAGAAAGGCTGAAGGGCTGCTGCAGGGGCTTCAACCCAAGAACCTCCTCTGAACTGAAGCTACACCTTTGCAGGTTTTTTTGTTTGTTTGTTTTGGTTTTTTTTTTGGCGGTACGCGGGTCTCTCACTGTTGTGGCCTCTCCCGTTGCGGAGCATAAGCTCCAGACGCGCAGGCTCAGCAGCCATGGCTCATGGGCCTAGCTGCTCCGCGGCATGTGGGATCTTCCCGGACTGGGGCACGAACCCACGTGCCCTGCATCGGCAGGCGGACTCGCAACCACTGTGCCACCAGGGAAGCCCCCATCTTCGCAGTTTTGAGGTGTTGCCATCAAGGGCTTTTTTGGCTCAAACACATATCCTCTGTTATTCGGGATGGCAATAATAAACTTTGAGCTGGCTCTGGCTGCTTACACAATCTCACTTCATCCTGACAATGACCTGCATCTCAGTCACCCCTGTGTCCTTAGCATCTAGCGTGGTGGCTGGACTACAGAGTTGCATCAAGTTGTGTTTGGTGAACAACCTTCTGAGTCCAATAGAGATGACTCCTTTGACTCCTGGGTCTTTGACTCGCTTCTTAAAATTAAACTTACTTTCCATATGTTTATTTTAAATAAATATTAATATGCAATTAAATTTATACCATCCCTCACAAATATCATTAATATTTATCCTTTATTAAACAGCTTAAGAAAACTTTCCCAGCTGGGAGATAAAGTCCAAACTCTGAAGATAAGCCTGAAACTTAAGGCCTTCTGTAACCTGGCCCCTGATCACCTCTCCAGACATATGTCTCACCATATGTCTCACCATACGTTCCCCCCCTGGGAAAGGCAAAGGAGGAAGGCAATTTAGTTACTACACCAGACTTTGTGTTAAAACACCAGGTTCAAGTCCAAACTCATCCTAAGTAGCAGTGAAACTTTGGACAAATCATTGCACTTCTTGTTTTCTGACTGTAAAACAGGAATAAAACCAGCCCTGCTGGGGCTTCCCTGGTGGTGCAGTGGTTAAGAATCCACCTGCCAATGCAGGGGACGGGTTCGAGACCTGGTCCAGGAAGATCCCACATGCCGCGGAGCACCTAAGCCCGTGCGCCAAAACTACTGAGTCTGCACTCTAGAGCCCTTTTGGTCACAACAGTCACATTGCCTGCCTACCTCCCAGAAAGGCTCTCCACTGAGCAAAAACTGCTCAGTTTGCAGTGAAATACAATGCAGAGTGTCTTACTTAAGCTTCGAATTTCAAGAATGGCAGGGGCCACAGACACCAGCACCATCATCCTCTACAATCACTCTTCATCAGTCATGTTTCATTAGCCTTTGTTTAACCTCTACGAATCTGTGGGAAAAGAAAATATAGGGCTGGGAATTAGAATAACAGAAGTGGGTTCTGACCCAAGGTCTGCAACTAGGTATCACTGTGATTTTTTTTTTTCTGCAAGCACGATTTTCTTCAAGTCTCCTTCACAAAGTCGCATGAGCTATAATAGGTGAAACACTTAGAAAAGTTAAATCCATCTGACACATGTAAGGCTTTATTATTATCTCTGACCTCCTCCCTTTGCCTTCACTGCATATAAGGTCATCGCAGCAGTCTTGGCCCTGGAGAGATGAGTGTGGGTAACAGCTCTCAGCCTGAGTGGGTGTCTTTGCCTCCCAAAGTTAAATATAAATGATTGGGGGCTATCTGCTGCTTTGGATCATATTTACTTCTGCTCTTGCCACTGATATAAAAACCAAAAGTTAACTATATTTAGCTGTTTTATTTGTTTTGTTTCCCTGAGTCAGATGGGAACTATTTCTTCCTACTCTATTCCTCTTCCCACGTTGAGAGTTTCCCAAAGGCAAAGATTATTTCCCTTTTTGGCCATTGGAGCTCTCTGATGATAAGAATTTGTCCTTCCCTCACCACCCAGCATAACCCAACCTGAATGGAAAATCTCTAGGAATGCGACCCTTGTCTTTGGGCTTTGCTTCAAGAATCAGGTGCGATTATTCAGTCACAGGAGTGAGACCCAAGGGAGTGGACCACTCAGTCAAGGGTAAAAATAGCTTAAGATGTCAAAATTACCTTCTAATAACTGATTTCCTTGGGTAGATGTATCAGACAATGGGACTTTTGTGGTGGTGAAAAATTCAGAGGGCCTAAGACAGATCCATATTTGTACACTGATTTTGCCACTTATTAGCTATGTGATTGTGCAATTTACTGACCAATCTGGGCCACATTTCTTGTCTGTGAATAACGGGAACAGTGCCCACATTCTAGGCTTGTTGACAGGATTAAATGAGATGTACTAAAAGCCTTACCACAGAGCCTGGCATGTAAGTGCTCATTAAGATTAATTGTGAAGGGTTGCTGCGGAGAATGAAAGGGACTGTGGGTGTGGAAGAGCTTCAGTATCTTCCGGCCAATTAAACAGCAAGGCCTGACAGAGCAGTCAGATGTCCTTGCTGAGGATCACTGTTCCGCATATCACAATTCACCGCCTCTCAAGAGGCCTCGAGCTACCAACGACCAGGGGCTGCCCAGAGTCCCGAGTGAGGAAACGCGGCCAGGAGCCAACCTGGCTTCTTGCAGTAAGGGCTCTTCAAGAAGGCCCTATGCATTTGGGCTCCCAGTGGGGCACTGCCGCGGGCTTCAAGGCCTCTTACTTACCCGGGAATGGTAACAGTCCTTAACGGCAGCCAATAACGGCTCACCTGCGGCCCAGACACTAGCAAGGGCGGGATGAGGTCAAACCTTGGATTTTGGAGCCCATGCCCCAAACCCTAGACCTGCATTGAACTACAATTCCCAGCATGCCACGCGGCCGCCCGGGTGGCGGAGCGTGGGCCTCGCCAACCTTGGGCCGCTCTTTCTTCCCGCGCGGCCGAACTCCCAGAACTTCCGGGTAGTGCTGTCTTCCCACCCACGACAGCCTCCCCTCTTGATTTCTGGGTATTGTAGTCCATCTTGTTCCGGTTTCCTGGGAATGACCTTCTCCTAGCTACGGATACCTTCGCCACAAAAACTACAAAACCCAGAGTGTCGCGCGAGTTCCCCTCGTCCAATAGGAACCCCCCATGTAGTGAGGCGCGGAGGCCGGCTCTCGCAACTCAAGATGGCGGACGAGAGTGATACAGCAGTGAAGCCGCCGGTACCTCCGCTGCCGCAGATGATGGAAGGGAACGGAAACGGCCATGAGCATTGCAGCGATTGCGAGAACGAGGAGGACAACAGCTACAACCGGGGGTAACAAGATCCTCGGAGTCCAATTCCCATCCAGTCCCCCACAACCTGGGTCTCTGGGGTGCGGGGAAGTCATCGGGAGCTTAGTGTATCCCCACCCCCACCTTCTTATTGGCCGAGACATTGGAACCCTGCCTGGCGATTCGTTGCTGTCTTTGTCATTTATCAGGGGTGGGTGGTTAGTATATTAAGACCCAGAGACATTCAATACTTTTATTATATAAAAGTTCTTCTGTGTAATGTTCCACTCGTGTGGCTCAGGCGCGTCCGAGGAAAAGAGCATGTTGGACGATGGTCTTCAGTGGCACAACACAGGTCAATCTAACAGTGCAGTTCAAAAGGAACGTTACTTATAAGGTGTGTGAACAACGTGATTAGCAGTAAACGAATAATAAAACGTTTCACTGCAGTTCACCTTCAATGAGGAAATTCATCAGGCTATACCAACCATAATTATGTTGTAAAATATCACTACTAGAGAATCCCAGGATATAAACTCACCTTATAAACCCTGCGTAATTACTGTATGATAATGTTTGGATGTATACCGTGTCTGTTGCTCCAAATAATCCATAAGTTTCCTGAACAGCACATAATTAGGTCTTCCAGTATCTTTGCTCTGTTAACTTTGCGAAGTAGCCTGGCGCTTCTAGAAATTGAGTGATGGTGCTTCCTTGGACAGTGTTTGGAAGTGGGTTTAATACTGCATCTCCTGTACTTGAGGGTCTTGCCTACTGGTAACTGTTCCTCGGGTAGAATAAATGCATCAGGCGTTTGAGTGTTGAGCTTTCAAATCAGTGTTCAGTCTTGCAAGCCACACCCTATCATTTCTCTTTCTCCATATTGTTAACAGTGGCTGGCACTGACGCTTGCTCTCCCTATCTATATTTACATATGTGTTTTCTAACGGAAAGTCATGAGAGACTGTTTTGGATGTATAACTTTGGCTGAGTCTTTGGTAGTCTGATTTTCATAGCCATCCTGTCATTTGCTGTATCGGTTGGTGGTAGTTCTGGAGGAAAAAGTAGAAGGTTGAGACCTTTGGATAAACTTTAAAGAGAAATTCTGCTACCTTAAGGCAGTGGGAGAACAAAGGATTATTTAAGTGGTTTATAAGTGGCTTGTGATGAAATCTTAGGTTAAAAGATCTAGCTTTATGTTCTTCAATCAGCTTTAAAAACCACAAGAAGAATGTAGGGGAAAAGGAAGCTTGTCAAATTTGGTTTTTATAGGACTGTGTTCTTTTGCACACAGATCTCATGTAATGAAAGCCTTGTTTGGAAGTGTGAGATTCCTGAGAAAGGAAGAGCTGAGAAAGAGGAAGTAGGAACAGGAAGGAGGGAAAGTGCAGCCCTTCTGAGTAGAGATTCCAGTCATATGTGAGAGTTCTTGAATTTGAAATTCGTTTCAGAAGTGAAAGTATGGCTTCATCTTTGCTGTGTGTGTAGTTGCTTTTAGTTTTCAATGCTAAACTGTCGCCTTGACCAGTGTCTGTAGCTCGTTAATTGGTTTATAGTCTGTGAATCACTTTGCAAGACTGTTTGGCGGAAAGTTCTGTGTTTTATTTAAAGTACAACAAAGTGGTAACCTAAAAAAAAACCTTTGGAGGTGTGTTGTTGTTGTACATGGTTATGGTCTGGGTGAACAAATTCAGTTTTTTAGCAGCCCGAATCTAGATATCTGTATAAATAAGTTTGGAGGTGACAGGTGAAAAGCAGAGGACCCAGCCTGGAGGACAGAGTCTAGTTCTGACACTTAGAATCTGGGATGGAGTCAACATTTTTCTGTCAGTTGTCAGAGGAGACAGTTTTGGGAAGAAGCTGTGTGGTATGATGGGAAAAGCATAGACTTTGGAATCATTCAAACCTGAGTTCAAAGCCTGGTTCTGACACTTAATAGTCCTGTGACCTTGGGAAAGTTAGTTAGCCTCCAGTTGTAAAGATTAAATCACATAATATCTGAAGCAGCCTTCCCCTTTCCTTTTATTCTTCAAATCTTCCCTGTTCTCCTTCCCCCAGCTTGCCCCCCCCAATCACATACTGTATTTTTTTTGTAGCTTTTATCATGACAGTAGTTAAATAACATTCATGTCCAGTCCAGGTCTTACCTACTGTGAGGTCTCAGAACAGGGATCCTGTCTTTGAGATGCCTGGCAGTTAGTGGGTGTTAATGAGTGTTTGCTGGATGAATGAATGACAAATGTTGAGGTTCGTAGCCCAGTGTTAGTGGAGCTTCATTTCTCCTCACTGAGGGGAAGGAAGGATGTCATATTTTCTCACATGTACACTTCCTTTTCGCAAATAAGTCTCGTAAGCCTTACTACAGTTTTTGTGAAATAATCCACAGATATCAAGGATCCTTCAATTTTTCGTGGTAGTTTTCCACTGTTTTTTGGCTTCTTGAAATTTTTCTTGCCTTTACTTAATATTAGTTTAAATATTTTCAGAAGTGATAAAAGAATTGAAGGGGAATATCTCCTTTTCATGCTAACAGTTCTAAAAGACAGTATGCAATAAAAGTTAATGATAGTTCAAACTAACCCTGGTTCTCTTGGGCCTTTCAGGATGGGCTCAGTGCTTTACACTAATGAAGTGAAATGCGTTCATGTACTGGAATAATAGGAAATACAGTTCTGCTAGTTCTTACATCCCTTCTTTGTGTAGAAGTTTAGTTCTTGATTTTTTTAGTCATGTGTTTCTTCCATAATTAAATATTTGGTGAGTATAAATTTCATGTATACATATAAGCACACATGTGCACATGTGTGCACATATAGTATATAGGTGTGTGTGTGTATGTATCTGCCTGCAGTTTTTCTAGCTGCTATTTTTTTTTTTAAATCCACTCAACAGAGGAAAGAAATAGGGGTAGCGTTCCACCCCTCCCCCCTCCCCAGTAACTTGCCTGGCATAAGTTACCGTGAGCAATTGATTGGAGAGTCAGACTAAGATCATCTTTATGCTGTATCTCCCTGCAGGTCATGATTCACCTATGGGTTTAATTTGCTTCTTTGGTTTTTCCCCTTTTTAAAATTAAAAGAAAAAAATTTTTTTTTATTGGAGTATAGTTGCTTTACAGTGTTGTGTTAGTTTCTGCTGCTTGTTTGTTTTTAGTGAGAGACTTATCGCTAAAGAAGAAATCTTATCAGCCGGCAGTAGATTTTAATTGTGCAGATAACAGACAAGTAAAGTTTATCTGGGTGTTTTGGAAAGGGAAAACTTTTAGACTATTTTGTTTGTAGGATTCGTTCCTAGAATTTATTCTGCAGTGTCATCGATACCACTGAGATGCTGGGAAGCCATGGATCAAGAATGCTTTGATAAGGGATGTCTGTTTCCCATTCTGTTCTCTTACTCCATGGGGACAGGTTAATATGGGCTCTTAAAAGTTTTCTTCACTTCCTAATCATGAGGTATTATCCTTTATGAAGAAACTTAAGAGAAAAGAAAGGTCTTTTTGAATGGAATTCCATAAAGCTATCCTTACTTGCTTCTGTTTTATTCTTCAGATTCTCCAAGAGTGGCTCTTTCCACATTTATTTGATGGCTTATAGCTGTATCTGGCTCTTAGAAGAAGAAATCTTTTTAGTTCCTTTTTCTTAATTTCTCTCTTCAGCTTTTGGTTTTTCAAAACTAGATCAAAGCAGAAATGAAAAGAGAAACCTCATCACTGATATCAAATAAGTGTTCTAATTTTATTTCCCAATTAAGTGGCAATTAAAAAGAAACTAATCAAGAGCTGCTTCAGAGAGAAGGGACTGGAGAGCAGAAGAAATGAAAAGTAAATGAGAGCCTATTTCAGGGAGACTGCTGTTCATGGCAAACCAGTTTTGCTGATTTTTCACATTGTTTAATGTGCTCACTCTAAAATCTCCCAGCTTTACTAAGTCTGCCATTAACCCTTTCCCTGCAGAGTCCATAAGTTTTGGGACCATAAATTTAGTAACTTTAGGAGGATGCTGCTTTAGCTCTTCCTTTTAACCTTTTATCTGAAATCTCTGCCCTGCAAGCCTCTCTTCCAGTTCCCCAAGGACGGTGCTCTTGTGATTGTTGCATTTAAGGCACACAAACACTATGTTCTCTCTTGAGAGCACAAAACAAAACGAAACTAATATTCTTCAACAGGGTCGGTACTTGCTTCAGAATTTTTTCTACTGCTGCTTTCTTCGAGAGGGAGCTAAGGAGGGTTCACTGTTGTTAAGTGTTCAATAAATGTTCTCTGTTGCTAGCATTACTATGTGCTGGGCACTGTGCTAAGCCCTTTACATGGATTATCTCATGTAGACTTCACTTATAAAGACTGATTTAGCTTTTGTAATGAGGCTTGGGATTTGCAAATCCACCTCTCCCTTTGACACCCAGGAGGATCCATTCTGAGCTTGCTAGATTTCTTTTCCCTCCTACATTGACTCCTTCCTCCTGACTCTGCTGCAGTGTGAGTCCTGTCTTTGGATGCATTCAGTAACCCATGGACTTTCCCAAACTAGGGAGCCAGTTGGTGATGGAGGTGACTGGCCCCTCTAAACCGTCCTTGATAGACTGATATCTTTTTCAGAGTTCATTCCAGTGTGTGAAGTTGCTGCCAGCATTGAGTCACTGCTCTGAAAATTACTGAAAATGGTCTCTGAACCGCACTTGACTTGACCTAGGAGTTGCCAGGTTACAGTCTAGCTCACCAAACCAACCCAGAGTATGTAGAATTTACATTTCTGTCTCATTCCCACTGTAAACTACTTAGTGTATCACAGCTTTTGTGACCCGTAAAAACCAATTTTCCTTCATGACAGGAATTGGCTTGTGCACGCTCAAGATTCTGGCTCACCATCCCTGGGAGGGCAGAGGGTGGCAGTAAAAGCAGCCTTTTGTAATCCCTTGCCACAAACTGCTGTTCTTTTCACAGGCCTCCTGGGTACCTTGATGGCAGTAGTAGAGTGTTTTTATTTTTACAGTAATTTAGGACTCACAAGCAGCTTTTTGTAAGAATAACTGATTGGTGGGAGTTTG